GGCGATCAGAGTGGTGTGAATGTTTCTTCTCAAGAGGCCACTGTTGAAAGCAGACATGGCAAGGAGACCGTTCCCCATTTATACACAAGCCACACTTCAGGAATGAGAAGACAAAGCCACTAAGTCCTGATCCTCCACTGTGCAGTCTTTTCTTTTCCTTCTTTGTTTTTGAAACAAGATCTCATATAGTCAAAACTGGCTCCAAGCTTGCTGTGTAGTCAAGGATGCTCTTATACTTCTGATCCTCCAATCTTCCTATCTCTTCTTCTGGCTGCATTTATAGGCGTGTGCCGCCATGCCTAGCTTTATGCAGTACTGGGGATGGAACCCAGGGCTTCACACATGCTAGACAAACACTCTCCCATCTGATCTACATCTCAGGTCTCCCCCTCCCCAGACCCCACAGTATGTTCTTTTAATTGAGAAGAACTTTGGTCCTTCTGGGGTTGTGTCTCTCAAATGGAGAACAGGAATTGGATGTAATTATTCATTTGTTTTGGATTCCTCCCACAGAAGATATTGGTTCTCTAGACTTAGGGGGATAGTAACTTTTTTAATGTGCCCAAGATGAATGTATTGAACTTTTCTTGGAAGATAATAGGAGAAAGAAGGAGAGAGCAAGAGCGAGAGCAAGCGAGGGAGAGTGAGTGAGTGAGAGAGAGAGAGAGAGAGAGAGAGAAATGGGTGAAAGGGCAGAGACTTCTCTCTGTCCTGCTGAATGTAACAGGAAGATGATTTCATCCTCAACCATCACACAAACCTTTCACCTACCTGGCACCACCTAAAGCAGATGCTGTCCTTCCTGAAGACAGAGGTAGGTGTGGCTTCCAGGTTAGGTTATTTTGACAGAGAACGCTTGTTCCAACCCTCACAGCACACTAGTGTTGCTTCAGACTATCAGTCTTTCTGCATTGTTCCCTCTCCCTGGTCACTGTAATAAATAATAAAGTGAGAAGTATCTCAGTTGGTAGAGTACTCGCCTAGCATGCATGAAGCCGTGTTTGCAATCCCCAGCATTACATACATAGCTCAGAGACATATCAGAGGAGGATCAGAAGTTCAAGGTCATTCTTGGCTTCCTGTTTTGAGGCCAATATCGGATACATGAAACATCGTCTCAAAAACCACAA